AACCCTAAGCCCTAAACCCTGTACCCCATCATCTAAACCCGACACTTATAAACCTTAAACCCCAAAGCCAACATCCGACCCAAAGCCCTGTAGATCCCTTTGAAGAAACCCTTAAACACCAAAACCTAAATCAGAAATCCTAAACAGTAATGGAGGTGCCTTCATAACTAGAGTAATTAGAAGAATAAGGTTTTGGGGCCCATTATACTAGAATCATAATAAGGAACCCACAAAACAGTCTTGGTAATTATTTAGGCTCCTAAATCAGAAACCCTAAATGCGAAACCCTGAACTACCCTTAATCTTAATACCGAAGCCCTAAATCCTAAACCCCCAAACCTAAACCCGAAACCTCAGACCTCTAAATTCTAAACCCCCAACCCTCGATCCGCAACCCTAGCCCGAAATCTTCCTAAATCCTAAACCCCCCAAACCTAAATCCGAAACCCTCAACCCTATAGATCCCTTTGAAAACACCAAAACCTAGATCCGAAATCCTAAACAAGGAGCTTCCGAAAAAATAGGGGTACCTTGTTTTGGGATCCTTATAAATATATAGGTCACTTGTACCATTTACAGCGAATCATGTGTCTGTGTCGAGTGTCACTAAACTCAAAACTCGCTCTCCACTTCGGTGCCACGCCATCCGGCGAGTATGCGACGCAAACCCAGAGCCTCCAAAACCCCTTAATTACGGAACATACCTTAAATTATGATAGGGTCCCTAATATGATTTTAAGGTATATTCCTTTATTTAAGGGGTTTTGGAGCTCTGGGAATGCCCGCGGTCTCGTGTGTCTCTGATATCGGCAGCTCGGGCACGAAGCTCCTTCCAGTCAGTCGACCTCCTCGTCGGAAACATGGCATAGTAGGCCTCCCGCTTTACTCGAAGGCACCGAGCCATCCGTAGCGGGACACCCGTCTGAAGCGGCACCATGTGGAAGTGTGCCGCGTGCATGCGCATGAATAGGTCGTTGGTCGAGAGGAAGCGCTCCGGCAGTCGCAGGCGCTAGCTGTGGCGGAGAGTGGCGGCGACCGCACAAGCCCAGTTTCGGCAGACGGCGATGAGCGCCCGCCGCGTCGCGCTCCGACTTGTCCCAGCTTGCTTCTCAGCACCTGTCTTTCAAATTCCGTGGTGAGCCCCGGGACAAAGTCTTGCCAGTCCGCCGCACGATCAAGAATTCCTAATTTTTAGCAGGGTCCCCTGTTTTCGGAAAGCTCTAAACCCTAAACCCCTAAAGCCCGAGACCCCTAAACAACTAAATCCGAAATCCCCAAACCCTACCTTAACCTACTTTTTGTAGGGTCCCTATAAATTCCATATTAGGGTTTTTGATAAGAACCTCCAAAAAAAGGGTTTGGTAGTTTAAGGTACAAAGTAGTAAGTTGGCTATGACCCCTTAATGAGAGGCTCTAAACCCTAAAACAGTAGGTTTGGGGATCCCCAGCAAAACTGTAAACGTGTCTCCTGTAGCATCCCTTAAGGTAAAAGCCAGAAAGTTGGAATATGATTATCCTAACCCTTCTATGGTAAATTATAGGGTATCCTACCAAGAAACCATATTCCAACTTTCTGGAGTTCCCTGACCCTGAAACTTCCTCAAATTACCAAAACCTAAACCCTAAACCCACCTAAACGGTAAGCTACACCCTAAACCCCAAACCGTGAACCCCCTAGACCCCTGAGCACCCAACTCCGAAACCCAAAACCCTAAATCTACAAACCTAAGCCCTGAGTCCAAAACCCTAAACCCCAAAACCTGAACCCTAAACAGTAAACTCCGCTCCTGGAGCATCCCCTAGACCCCAAACCCTAAACAGTAAACTCCTCTCCTGGAGCATCGCCATGCCCTTCGCGTGGCCCTTCACTAAGCTCCAGACGGTCTTCACCGGAGCGACACCTAGGCTTTCGAGCTGTCTCTAGAGTTAAGGTTTTAGGGTCTAGGCTTTAGAGTTTGAGGTTTAGGGTTTAGGGTCCAGGCTTTTGAGTGGGGGATCTTTGGAGTTTAAGTTTTAGGGTTTAATGGGTTTAGAGTTTGGGGGCTTGGAGCTTGGGGCTCAGGGGGCTTAGGGTTCAATGGGTTTAGGGCTTGAAGGCTTAGGAGTTTAGAGTTTGGGGGGCTTAGAGTTTAGGGTTTGGGTTTAATGGGGTGGTCTGGGCTTCCGAGTTTGTCGGCTTAGAGTTGCTTTTCTTTATTTTCAGGCCGGTTTAAAAGGGGTTCAGAGTTTGGGTTTTAAGGTTTTAGGGTTTTAGGGTTCAGGGTTCAGGGCTCAGGGTTTAGGGTTTTAGGGTTTTAGGGTTCTGGGTTTAGGGTTTTAGGGTTTTAAGGTTTTAGGGTTCAGGGTTTAGGGTTTGGGGCCAAACCCCTAAAACCTGAACTCAAAACTCTAAACCCAGCTGACTTCTGAACCCCTCCCAAAACTTACACTTTCAGCCTACTTGTTAGAGTTCATATAGAAACCCGAAAAGTTAAAGTCCTATGAGCCAACCAGAAGAACACCAAGTAAACCCTAAACCCCCGCAAACCTCAAAGCCCTACACCTGAACCCACAACTCTAAACCCAAAGCCTAAAGCCCTGAAGCCCTAAACCCTGAATTATACTGAACTTAGAACCCTAGCAAAAATTATGATTTCGGCTGTTTCTTAGGGATTATAATAACCAAAAATTAAAAACTACGGTTGATGATATAAATCCTGCATTACCTTAAGGACCCTACACTATGGGAATTATGGTATATTCCTTATTATGGGTAATGCAGGATTTGTATCATCAACCGTATCTCTAAGCACCCCTAAGAAACCCTCAAACCCTGCCCGGGGGGCCCGGCAGTCAAAGTCCAGCTGGCGGCTCACTTCGCCCTTGCAGGGGAAGGGCTTAGGGTAGGGTTTAGAGTTTAGGGTTTAGGGTTTAGGGTTTAGGGTTTAGGGTTTAGGGTTTAGGGTTGAGGGTTTAGGGTTTAGGGTTTAGGGTTTAGGGTTAAGGTGCAACTTGGTACACTTCTCGATTTCTGCGTGTCATCCTTGCGCAGGGGCCATGCTAATCTTCTCTGTATCGTGGGTTTAGAGTTTAGGGTTTAGGGATCAGGATGAAAGCATCCCGGGGGAGAGCCAGAAAGTCTTACTCCCAAAGGGTCCAAGTATCATTATAGTAGGTATTTGGGCACCAAAAGTATATACTGTACCATTACTTGGACCCTTTGTGAATGACGGTTTAGGATTTAGGGCTGGGAGAAAGCCAGAAAGTCGTATTGAACGTTTAAGAGTGTAGGGCTTCAGGGGTTTGAGGGTTGTGGGGTTTGGGTGCTTAGGGCTTGGGCTTAGCTCTTCAGGGGCTTCGAATTTGGAGGTTTAGGTTCGCACTTGACCTGGAAGACGGTGGCAGAGCGAGACAACCGCGGATTTTGCGCGAAATTAAACCTCTAAACCGTGAGTACCTATACACATCATGCTCAGAACACCTGACTTTCCACCTTCGAAGCGGCTAAGTCTCATAGGAATGTGCTTGAAGGAGAGGGGTTTTGCACCCTCTAAACCCAAAACCCCCAAAACCCTAACCCCTAGAGACCCTCCAAGCCCTAGACAGCCCGCGAACCCTGCCTTGACACTGTCCTGCAGCATGTGAATTAGCCTTAGCCACAGGCACGGGGCTTGGAGCTTGGGGCCTATTTCTTTTCTTTTTAAGGGCTCGCCCGGTTGGGCTTGCTGATGGGGTTGAGGGTTTAGGGTTGAGAGGCGGCATTGCCCAGACCTAATTAAGAGTAATCTAGGAGAAAAAAGTGTTTTTGTTTGGCTTAAAGAGAAGGGAACCTGAACCCTAAAGCAGGCAATGAGGGCTTACTCTGGGTCCTAGTTGCGCTCTTTGTTGAGGTCCCTCAACTGAAGATTAAGAGGCGGACGGCCGCAGGATCCCCCAGTTCGGGAACTACTGCTGATGGACAAAATCCTGCATTAGCCATTATAAGGAATATACCATAGTTCCCATAGTTCAGAGTCCTTAGGGTCATGCAGGATTTTGTCCATCAGCAGTATGGTTGGGGCCTCTCGTTTTTGGATTTAGGGTTTAGGGCTTAGGAATTAGGGTAAGTTTTAGATTTTGTTGTTGGCTCCTTTTTCCGTAGGTTTAGGATTTAGGGTTCAGGGTCTAGGGCTTATAGAAGCAAAAACTGAATTACAAATAATGTTCCAACGTGCGATGGTCAAGGCTTTAGCGTTCTGAGAGGGTTTGGCGTTTTGGCACTTTGGGATTCGAAGGTGTTTGGGTTAGAGTGCAGGGTTTGAGGGTTGGAAATTTGGGAGCCAGGGTTTAGGGACCCTAAACCCTAAACCCTAAACCCTAAACCCTAAACCCTAAACCCTAAACCCTAAACCCTAAACCGTGCTTACCGTGTAGGGCTGAAGGAGCCTCATGGTCTATGGATGGGACGGATACTTAAAGGATCATGGGACTTAGTAACTAGGGTTATTATTAGGATAAGCATACTTATAACCCCATTTAGGGTACTTGTGACCTTACTTACTAAGTCCCATGATCCTCCAAGTAGGATCCTATATCATAGCAAACTAAGGCAAACCGGCAAGAAGTGCTAAGGTAAGGGCTCTGGGCGCCACCCAACACCCCCAGCCTTCCATTAGACACCCAAGTCTGCAAAACCACGCATTATAGTATCCTTATATGGGAGGGGGTTCCAACTGAGGTAGATAACCTACTAATCCCTGGTTCTCTCTAGTGCTCCCGAAGGTTCCCTTAAGGTTCCCTGAGGATCCCTTGTACCCTCCCCCCTTGAACAAGGTTTGGCTGGATGAACCTGATTAAGGAACCCTATTTTGGGGTTATAGGCCCAGGGTTTCTTAATCAGGTTCCTACATTGTCCGAGACTCTTCAAAACGTAATCTCCTCATGTACTTGCCGTTCTGTTCTTCGGATGCTAGTACCTGGTGCTCAACTTTGGAAGACCAGCACTTCTGATGTACAGGTAAACTCTTATGCCTCCATTTCTCCTACGCCGAAGTGGTGGGAGGTGCGCCCTCCAGCAGTGTGCTGGAACCGGAAACGCCCCAGCGAATGAGCGATCCTCGGATCCGGATCAGGCTTTCCTGTAAAGGGTTCATAGTTTAGGGTTTGGCGTTCTCAGGAATACTATAAGTGAGGGCTAGTATCAGGGTTTAGTAGTGTTGGTCTAGGGTTTGGAATTCTTACATAGGGTCTATAAGGGTTACTACAAGGGCTACTATCAGGGCTTAGTAGTTGCAGAGAGGGGCTTTCGGTTTAGAGAGTCGCGCCTTGGGCTTGGCATTTTGTGTCTTGGCGTAGGTGGGACTTGAGTTTAGGGTCTAGGGCCTAGGGTTTAGGGTGTAGGAGTCTTTGGGTGTCGGCTTTGGTTCCAGGGCGATTTCAGGGCCAGCGTTCTTCATTTAACAAAATGCTCAGTGGCTGCTTGGACCCTTGGTGGTTATAGGCCTTATAGGCTTTAAAATAAGCTCCCGTCTCATGAGATTCTTCTGCTTGGAGCTGGGACTGGCAGTCTCGATGCGGGTGCCGTCCTACTTAGAATAAGGTTTCGGGGTATCTTATACCAAATAATTATAGTCTATTATAGTAAGCAACCCCGCAAAATGGTATTGGCAATCATTCTGGCCTATCTGTTACCTCCCTGCATTGAGCCATGGATCCATCTGCCAGCACGGCCACGAAGTCGCCGCTTGAAGCCTGGATTTGCTGCACGTTTTTCAGCTGCTCCTCCACGGCTTCGCAACGACCGCCATGCAGCTCAGGCCCCCAAGTGACAACGGACCCGTCACCTGAACTTCAGGACTTCGAAGGGGGTTTAGGGTTGGAAAGGGCTGAGTACGTCGAGTTAAGGGTTCAAGGAAGATGGCTTCGGCCTTAGGATGTTTGCAATGTCATAAAGGTCTGGTGGTATGGGATCCCACTTCTCAACGCAACCCAGAGGCCCAGAATGGCGGCAAATGCACCGCCAGAGGCTTGAATCTGCTGCACGTTCTTCAATCTGCCCTGCACAGCTGTACCTCTGAAACGCGATCAAGTATCAATACGCGGACTTCGAAGTTCTCTTTCAAGGAACAAGTGACATCCGAGGCAAGCAAGCAGACTCAAACAGGATAGCTTTTCCCGGACCTTTCTGTGCAACAATCATGCCTTGGGAGTTCCTGTCTTGCCTTGATGCTGAGCCTTACATCTTATGATTGCCCATTCCCTAAGGGTCCATGTACCCATATAGCATATACTTTGGGCCCACTGTACCTATATAGGGAGTACTTTAAGGCCAATGTATGTACTATATGAGCACATGGACCCTCAGGGATTTTATTGCAAGTAAGATTGCTTGGTTTGGGGATGGGCTTACGGTTCAGGCTTGATTCCAGGGTGCTGTCTCCACCAGCCCCGGGATCGCCCCAGGTTACGACCGAGCCGTCTGCACGGAGAGCTGCAAAGGCTGCATGCGTTGCCTGTACCGACTGCACGTCCTTCGATCGCTACGTACCATATCATACGCAATAACTCAGGGCCGAGGAACCCTAAACCCTAAACCCTCAACCCCTAAACCCCAAACCCTAAACCCCTAAAACCTAAACCCTCCATTGACTGACCCTAAGGGTCCATGTAATTACCCACATACTAGATACTTTGGCCCTACAGTACCTCTATTGGGACTACTTTAAGGCCCATGTATATACTATACAAATACGTGGACCCTTAGAGTAATAAGCTAGGAATATACCTTAATTATAGTCGGAACCCTCATCACATATTCCTTAATTAAGGGATACTGGAATCTCTGGGAAACCCGCGATCTCCAAATCTAATGTCCTTCAACTGGTCGCGCACATCGTCGCAGGCTCCACCTGCTCGCGGATCTCCCCAGGTCACCTAGCGGCTGAGCTGGGTTTAGTGGGGGCCTAGCGATTACCTGCATGGTTTGGGAGACTTAGTAAGTAGTTGGTCTTGTATCATAGCCCCCAATTAGGATCCTCGTTCAGGGTACGTATGATTATGGGGCTGCTTATTACCTCCTCACCACTACGTCCCCCGACCCTCCGCGCATGAGGAACATCTCCAGTGTTTAGGCCGTCGGGGCTTGGTTCCTTATCAAGGGAGCTACATGGGGATTGGGAATGTGGTTTTTTTTGGTTAGAAGACACCATAATTAGGTCTAGGGGTTTGGGGTTTACCGCTAGGGTGTACGTAAACCCTACATCCTAGACCCCCCCCACTACCCTCGCTGCTAGAAATCTGTATCAAAGCTCTTTGATGGTCAACGTGGCCACCGCAGGTCACGGTAATCCCCAGATGTATCGGTTTTCCCTCTAATGCGACCGGGGTCGCCACAGATCCGTCGTCCAGGATCGCAGCAAAAGCATTATACGCAGCCTGGATCTGCTTGACGTTCTTCCTTGGCTGGTTTGGGCTAGGCTTTGAAGCCATAGGGCACGCTGGTGGTGCACAGCATTCCTGGACTGCTTAGGACTGCCTGGGTTGCCAGATTCGGTTCCGTGCTGCATCTTAGCTGTTACATGAATGAACAGAAAAGCGCTTAAACCCTAATCATCCCTAATCCCTCAGCACTTATTCCATCTTATCCCTTTACACTGCTCTCCGATTTCATGCACCGTAATAATTCGCCCTAGTGGCCCTAGTTCCTAAACTCTCAACACTTATCCCTAAACCCTGCTCTCTGATACATGCACCACTAAACCCAAGAGTAGCCTGGGAATTAAAAAAAGGTGCCCTTTTGGTGTAAAGGGGCTTATAGGGGAACCTGAACCCTTAAGAAAAAAGGAATAAGGGCCTGCTCTAGGCTAGATTCCCCTTGGAACCATAATAAAAATACTAGTTTGAATAATCTCTTGGGTGTTATATATATGAACCAAAATACCAAAAAAAGATAAACAACAAAATAAGAAAAAAACTGTAAACTGTCCTAGACCAGCTTCAGGTCGTCTGGCACAGAATTCGAGGAAAAGCCGGTGGTGCCCCAAGAGACGACGGACCCATCACCTTGCTCAGAGCGCATAGGCTTTAGAGTTTGGGGGTTTAGGGTTTCGGGGTTAGGGTTGATATAGGGGCCTTAATGGTTAGAATGTGCCCATAGGCTTCAAAGTTTGGGGTTTAGGGTTCCGGGGTTAGAGTTAATATAGAGGCCTTCTTTTTAAAATAGGGTTTTGTGGTATATTGTACTATAAGTATAATAAGGAGCCCCTGAAACCCTATTCTCATTATTAGGGCCCCTATACGCTGTGCACCTTCATGAGCCTACAGCAATCCTTCCCCTGGAGCCCTGCTGGAAATGCCGCTTAGGGTTCAGGGTTTAGGGGTTTAGGGGTCTAGGGGTTAGGGCCTAGGGTTTAGAGGTTTAGGGCTTAGGGTTTAGGGCCCTACATACCGTTAAGTTCTATACTCCGAACCTCCAAGCCAGCACCAACAATCACGAACACCCGACTAGAAGGGCCTTCATGACTTGAGCAAGGTTGATATGACGACCGAAGCTTCAAAAGATTCTGCAGATGCGTCGCCAAGAATTGCAGCGAACGCATCGCCGCTGGCTTGGATCTGCTGCACATCCTTCAGCTTGTGCTGAACAGCGCTGCAGTCGCCACCCGAGCTCGCCTGGGTCTCTTTTTGTTCAACCGGTGTTGGCGTCGGGTTTAGGGTTTGGCATAAAGGTGCTGGGTCAGGCTAGAACTTGGGAAAGGTTTCTCAGCTACAGAGCCACTGAAGCTCCAGCATCATGCCCCAACCCCTTTTCTGCATCGTCTTGCAGGATCGGGCGGGCAATTAAGGCAAGGGGTATGATTGCGTCCTAGACATTGCCTTCTGTGTCCCAGCCCAAAGTTAGTTACATATATTATATATACACATAAATTTATATATATATATATATATATATATATATGTTTCATCTTTAAGCTTTAATGCTTGCTTCGAAGACCTCCATCCCCATCACAGTGCCCAAGCCGTAATCACCTCATGCCCGGAAAATAAAATCCCCATAGGAATTGCCGAAAGCATTAACGTTGGAGACCAGCTCTCCAATGCTAATGCTCTGGGCAGCTCTTATGAAGGACTGGGCAAGCAGCTACCACGATTGGATTTAATCTCCAGGGGATGAGATCAAGACGGCTTAGGCAAGCTGTGTTTGATGGGTATTGAAGTCTTCGGAGCAAGCTTCAACATAAACAAGGTTTATATCAGTTAGGACAGTTCGGACACGTGGCATCGCCCCAGGCAACGATTGATCCATCGGCAAGGATGGCCGCGAAGGCCATTCCAGTAGCCTGAATGTGCCGCACACCACGGAGACGAGGCTGCACAGAGTTGCAATCTCCACCACCTAAGGTCAAAAACCTCTTAAGAGAGGAAAGAAATTCTGAATCAGTGTAGTATACCAAAACATTCTTTTTATTTTAATTACAGGGTACTGTAATAAGGTGGGGACCGTTTCTCAATTACAAAGTACGGTGTCGATCTCGTCGGCCCCCCGGAACCCACTTCCTATTGCTGTCAGGGCATCGGACCGTAATCAAAATTACAAGTTACCCATCGAAGGAAGCTATTGTAAGTCAGGGTCTATGTCGGGGTGTGTGTTTGAAGGTTTTGGGTGCACGGTTTAAAGCCTCGGAGGAGTCTGAACATCACAACGGATCCGGGTTTAAAGTTGAAGCCCGCGCAGATATGTCTCTCTCTCTCTCTCTCTCTCTCTCTCTCTCTCTCTCTCTCTATATATATATATATGTATATGTGTATATATATATATGTATATATATTTATATAAATAAATAAATATATATATATATATATATATATATATATGTATATCCAGGCCATGTATATTTCTAATATCTATATATATATATATATATATATATATATATATAGCAATGTTTACAGTAATGATGGTATGCTTAACAGTAATGATGGCATGCTTGAGTGTAAACTATACCATGATGAGGACGGTAACCATAACACTAAGGACAACATTGGTGATTGTAGTAGCCCCACAAGTTTGTACATATACAGCGTGTGCATACATATACTTATTTTTTATGTGTATATGAATATGTGTGTGTATATGTATATGTGCGTCTGCGTAATGAGTATGTCTATGTGTGTATAAACATGTATTTACATTTCCACAAACCTGACATTGAACTCAGTGTATGCATTTACATATGTACATGCACACATACCGTTATCAGCATCACCACTAGTTATTCTTGCAGTAATTTAGGGGCCTAAAAGCTTCAGAATAGGGAGTTGGGGATTCCTTATTGTAAATATACTATAGTTCCCCCCCCCCTCCGCCCTATTCTAATTATTAAGCCCCTCTAGTACCCTTGCCCAAAATGCTAACCTTCCTCCAAATATGATAGGTCTCTTTTCTGTTCTTTTAGTATCAGCATTATATGGGCGTTTCCGATTATAGGGGACCCTCTATAGTACCCTAAATAGTAGGATCCTTATTTTAAGTACCAAAAAATAAGGTACCCCTAATTTCAGAAAACCCCACATAGTTCTTATTACATTATGTAGTATCAGCATTATATAGTAATTATTACAGTATGTCCTAAACCCTAAACCCTAGCCTGTCAGAGAGCCAAGCGACACCAGTCAGCTCCCCAGGTCACCACCTAGGATCCCCAGCAGCCTAGGGATAAACAGGGCCTCTTTGTGAGTATTGCGTAGTTTTAATTTTCTGGTTTAGGGTATAAGGTTTGGGGTGTAGCGTTAGGTTTTCGGGTTTAGGGTTTAAGGTTTTGGGTTTAGAGTTTACGGTGGGTTTTGCATAGCTTTATACGCAACCTAAGACCACAAAAAGGGAAAGCGAGCACACTGAAAGACCAAGCTGCCGATCCATCCGTTCGGAGGGCCGCAAAAGCACCGCCAGAAGCTTGGATCTTTTCAACACTCCTGGGTTTCCTTAAGGATGTAGGATACATTAAAGTTGTAGCGGTTCTACCTGGGTTCCTTCGAGGATGCAGGGGTTTTGATTTGGAGGTCTAGAGTTTGTAGATTTAGCTCTTTCGGACCCGGGCTGCTCCGTCGACATATTTGGCTCACACTGCCCTAGAGCCAACAGGAACCACATGGGTAGTAGTCAAGATTATGGCTCCTTTTGGGGTAATTACCCTAGATATTAGGTGCCGTACTATATTAGGAACCCAATAATGGACCCTAATTTTAACAACCACCCACATAGCAACTGAGATTCTTCAGCTGGTCATGAACACTGTTGCTGTCCCCGCCACCAATTGCAGCACCCCAGGTCACCACAGATCCGTCATTCAGAAGCGCAGCAAAGGCTGCGTTCGATGCTTGGATGTGCCCCACATTTTGCAGTTTGTGCTGCACCGCGCTGCTATCACCCCCACAGCGCTCATCACCCCAGGCCACGACGGAGCTGTCGGCGAGAAGAGCTGCAAAAGCGCTAGACGAACCTTGAATCTTCCGCACATTTTTCAGCTGACCTGTGACAACTTCAAAGCTGCAGTCGCCTCCGCAGTCGGCTTTCCCCCAGGCATGTACAGATCCGTCGCTCAAGATCGAAGCTGCAGCTTGTAGACCTCTTGACATGAAGACCTCAATATGCCCGATATGAAATGTCAGTACATCACCATCCCTCAAGCAGCATTCCTCGACAGTTGATGCTCCGTGCAGCAACTTCCCTTCAGCATTCAGCAAGCTTCCCCTCCTTGAAGCCAGCGCAACCTGTGCGCGATCGCTCAATGACTGTAGTGACTCTCCCAGCTCAGCATCCAAGCAAATGGTTCTTCCACTTAGCAGGCTAACCTGGAGAGATATGGACATGAGCGATGGCGAGGGACTTGGCCAATGTCGGTTCTAGCCTATGCTAGCTGGGCCGAGGATTCTTATAAGTAGCCCCCCTTGTGTAAAGGTGTCCCTATTGTCAGTGCAGCCCGATATCTCTCTGCTGAGCGCGCACCCACATTCTTCCAAGTCTTCACAGAGCCGAGGAATGCAACTTATTACATCCTCAACGGCTGGGGGATTCGACCCCTCGCAACACCGAATGCACATTCCATCCCAGGCACTGACCCCTTTTGCGGCTTTGTATTGCTTAGTCTGTGAACCCTAGAACCTCTCAGGTCAGCTCGCTGAAACCGAAGGCATGCCTAAGACTTCAACTATACAACTAGTACCTGTCTTGCGCTCGAAACTCTATAAATACTACATGCCTACTTGGGCTGTACGGAATCTTAGGACTGTTATGCTGCTTCTAAGATTTTACTCATGGCCCAGCTGCGGTGGCTTGAGCCTAAGATGCGGCAGATAGCTTGTGGCTAGAGCTATCTGTTGATGATATGCATCCTGCATTACCTTAAGGACCCTAAACTATGAGAATTATGGTTTATTCCTTATTATAGGTCATGCAGGATTTATATCATCAACCGTATAGGGTTTCACGAGACTATCTATGGTAGAAGCCCACAAGTTGGAATTCCAATAGCCTCATGTATAAGCGAATCGGCTCTCCCTCTCTCTCTCTCTCTCTCTCTCTCTCTCTCTCTCTCTCTCTCTCTCTCTCTCTCTCTCTCAACCCTTGGGAGTAATGTAAAAGGAATCCCAGCACTATTTGTCCTGAATCCGGCTCCCATCTGTTCGGGGTTTACTCTACCCTAAACCTTAAACCCCTAAAGCCTAAACCCTAAACTACAAGTTCATGCACAAAGTGGGGCTGCTGTGACTCGGTGCTGCAGGTTGACGTGGCTCGGCGCGAGATGCTTGTGAAATGTTTGAGGGGTAACCCAAAGGGTCCAAGTACCATTATAGTAGTTGGGCCCCAAAGTATATACTATACCATTACTTGGACCAATTGGGTAAGCACGCTCATACACATCATTGAGTCACGGGCGCATCATCTGGAGAAAGACGCTGTATGCAGGAAACCCTAGCCGGGAAAGGATCACTCCGAGTATATCGGTTACAGCTGTCATTAGCTAAGCGCCCCGTGATCCTTTTGATGTTCCACAACTCGTTGTTTGAAGTAACCTTTTTTCCAGTCAAGCCGGGTGGTAGAGAAACCTAAACCCTAAACCCAAGGCTCGCTTGGTGCATGGCTTTCCGTAGCTCCCTCGTAGCTTGTCTGGGTTCAAGATCTTGTACCTGGCTCGCAGGGGTTTGGAATGAAAGCCGAGGCCTAGTCTTCGTATTTAGGGACGATGAGGCTTCAGCAACACCCGACATCCTCGAAATCCTAGATTTCCCTACAGGCACTCCACACCCAACACCTCGGCGTTGGACTTGGCGACTGGGGGGACCTTCCTAAAAGGTCAGACAACCCGCAACCCTACACGCTACACCCTAGTAGCCCATAAGTCCTAAACAGTAAACCCACACTCGGACCCACCCGAGGCACTCAGGACCCAAGACCCAAACCCCGAGGCCCGTGAGCTCGTGGATCCCGAGATGGCTACCGTTTACTCCATTGACGGGTTTAGGGCTTCAGGGGCTTTGGGGATTGACGGTTTGAGGGTTCTCCGAGCCCAGACGCTGAACACAGGCTACCTGCAAGATCCGAAACACAGGGTGTGTGACTTGAGGTGGGGTGAATCGCCAAGCCTCTCGCACACTCTCCAATCGAAGTGCCCTTAAAATATTAGGGTCAGGGTCGGGTTTAAGCCTTGAATTTGGGACGGTTTGGGTTTCAGGCTTTACAACCCTGAACCCTGATTAAACCCCCAAGTCTAAGCCCGGAACCAATGAGATTCTAGCTTTTGCGTGCCCCTGATCCCAAGTCCCTTAGACCTTCACCCCAACACAGGGGCTTTAAACTACACCAGGATTCCTTTAAAGTTTTTCTGAAAGGGTTCTACATTCTAGATGGGATCCATAAGCTCTCTCTGTCGCTCTCGCGCATGGCCAACATACAAAAACCTCCGAATAATGCCTTTTCACTCGGGCCAGTAGGGACCTTAACATCTGGATGGAGACATATGAATAGTTTACTAAGGAAGCCCGAAGACAGGATGTGCAATTGTTCAGGCTTCTAGATCACTCCCAATACACAACCCTGGGACGAAAGGGCTTTGTCTTCCTTAAACCCTAAACCCTTATTAAACTACCTAGATCAGGCCCGCAGCCACTAATGGTGACGTCAAGGGACCATGGCACTGGCAAGCATATTAAGGTCCCTCTATGTTAGGGTTCATGGTTTAGGGTATTCCTATTGTACCACCATTCTGCCGGGGCCTAACCCTGAACCCTAACCCATAAACCCCCCATACACTGCTAGACCCAAACCCCATAA